TGAATTTCTGGCCGAGGCTCTATGAAGAGAGTAAACAGCCCTGAGAGGAGCAGATCGCTTCTTCTTCTTCTTGTGTCAATATTCGTATTATTCTTGGAGGGATTTCGGGGGCGGATTTCACACTCGTAGCACAAATCATTTATCACTCCGGTTTCACTTTAAATAAAAGAGAGTTCTGGGGGGGGGAGGAGAGAATTGTAATTGATCTCATTAGTTTGGTGGTTACATTGTATTATCTGCTATAAGACTGAGTCAGCTGAGCTCTGTATTCATCTTCTGGTATCTGTGCAGACTCGTTGCTTTCATTTTGTGTCCTGTGTATGACTGACATGTGTGTGTCTGATGTGTCCTGTGTATGACTGACATGTATGTGTCTGATGTGTCCTGTGTATGACTGACATGTGTGTGTCTGATGTGTCCTGTGTATGACTGACATGTATGTGTCTGATGTGTCCTGTGTATGGCTGACATGGATGTGTCTGATGTGTCCTCCATGACGACATGGATTTGTCTTATGTGTCCTCTATGACTAACATGTATGTGTCTGATGTGTCCTGTGTATGACTGACATGGATGTGTCTGGTGTGTCCTGTGTATGTGTCATCCTCTATGCCTGCCATGTATGTGTCTGATGTGTCCTGTGTATGACTGACATGTATGTGTCTGATGTGTCCTGTGTATGACTGACATGTATGTGTCTGATGTGTCCTCCATGACGACATGGATGTGTCTTATGTGTCCTCTATGACTAACATGTATGTGTCTGATGTGTCCTGTGTATGACTGACATGTATGTGCCTGGTGTGTCCTGTGTATGACTGACATGTATGTGTCTGATGTGTCCTGTGTATGGCTGACATGGATGTGTCTGATGTGTCCTCCATGACGACATGGATGTGTCTTATGTGTCCTCTATGACTAACATGTATGTGTCTGATGTGTCCTGTGTATGACTGACATGGATGTGTCTTATGTGTCCTCTATGCCTGCCATGGATGTGTCTTATGTGTCCTCTATGCCTGCCATGGATGTGTCTTATGTGTCCTCTATGACTGACATGGATGTGTCTGATGTGTCCTGTGTATGGCTGACATGGATGTGTCTGATGTGTCCTGTGTATGGCTGACATGGATGTGTCATGTTGCTGACTTTTTATCAGAACTCTGTGTACTGATCCAGTCAAGCCTGACTCATCCCAACTCATTCCAAGTACCGGTGTGCAACAAATGGCAGCGAGCTCTGCATGTGACCCTCTCACCCAGACATCGCTCACCTCCATGCAGCGATTACCAAAACTCTGCTGATAATTACAAACTATTTTACTTTATGTCACATATTTACTTGAAACAAAAATCGCTCATTGCGCATATGTAGACAGATTTTTAAAATATTACACTTCACAAAGTCGTAGAAATCAGTAAAGCAAAAGTAATACTATATTATATAATACAGAGATTACTGGTCACTGCTAATATAGCGGCTGATAGTTATTTACAGACGTGTGAGTGTGTAGGTGTGATAAACGTATATCATGTTATAATTATTATTATTATTATTATTATTAATAATATTATTATTGTTATGAGGTGGCCAA